CACTATGGAAATCCGCGTGGAGATTCTAAAAAAGAAAAAAAGGAAAGAAAGAATTATCATGTGATTTGGCTATACGGTTCATAGGCATATTCCGTGAGATATGTTACATATGATTTTTGTCTTCATTGCAGTTAACTGAGGCACTTAAAGTTAGATCATTGACTAATTAACCTTACTTTTAACTTTCCAGTCATTGTTTGTCATCCTTATTATAGGGCTAGCCCTTTCACAGAGTATTTTTAGGAGAACCAGCTCTATCTGAGTGCTTGAGGCTCGTATTTATACCCTAGCTATATGTGAAGTAGGAAATGAAAGGATCATAGTTTAAGGCTATCTAGGGCAGAAAAGTTGACAGGACTCTATCTCAAAAATAACCAGCAAAAATCAAGGCTAGAATGTGCCCCAAGTAGTAGAGCACCAGCCCAGCAAAGCCCTGTGTTCAAACCTCAGTACTATTGAGTAAGAGAGAGAAACAGAGAGAGAGAGAGACAGACAGACAGACAGACAGACAGACAAAGACAGAGAGAGACAGAAAGAGGGAAGGAGGGAGGGAGGGAGAGAGAATGCACAGGATCTACATTAGCAAGTTAAAGTGAAGCAGTAAGCCCAGGGCCTCTGGTTGCCAGGGCAATGGGTAGATGGTGTCTAGGGCCCAGGTGGTCTACAGATCTTCCCACAAATCTGACCTCTGCAAGAAACATACCAAGGCCCCAAAACAATCAAGATGCTGATACATTTCCAGGGACTTGACAAACTAACCCCAAGTCCCAGTATTTGAGCATATCTGTCAAAGCAGAGCCCTCATGCAGTGCATATGAATCAGGGAAGAAGACAATGTCTCTAAAATGATTTTTTGGCCCAACCATGCCCAAGACCTTGGTTCAGAACTACCCAATCTCCATTAAAAGCATATACATAGGCAATTCAGTCAACTCCAATAAACCAGGGCATACACAGATGCACATCTGTTGCATGAGTTCCACCTATCAATGAACCTGCTCAAAGCAAAAAAGGCAGCACACAAACTCCGCGCAATGACATCCAGCCTAGTTGTGTTCTCTGCTTCAGCCTTCCAGGTCAGCTCATGGAGTCATCTCTTCCTGTGAGTACTTAAATGAAGTTCTGGAAAATAATGTTCTTTCTCTTCCATATCTGATTCTTAACAAATTATCTAATCATTTTTGCCATTGTGTGTGTGTGTGTGTGTGTGTGTGTGTGTGTGTGTGTGTGTGTGTGTGTGTGCATGTGTTGCCTGACTTTTCTCTCCAAGACTCAATATTCGAGGTTAATAGCTATGCTGACTTCCTGTGACATGTTTTAATTCAGTTGGAAGTACTAGTCACAGTACGGTGGGCAAGGAACTTAACATCTCCAGGTGTCTTCGTCTTCACTGGTAAAAGGGAGAGCAATAATCACAATAGACTTAAAAGGTCCTTAGGATGATTAGATGTTGTGTATGAAATGCTCATTATTGCGTCTTCCTCACACAATCAAGTCCTTAAACCTGTTTATGAGGGTAAGGCAGACTTGAAGGGAAAAGCCACAAATACATGAAACAAGACATTTCTCTAAGGCAAGAGTTGAAGAACTGGTTCAGAATAGTATTCTCATTTCAATCATATATGTATATATGTTTTTGTATGTATATTACATATGTATATGTATATATATGCTTTACTTTCTTTTTGTGTGTCTATCAGTATTGCACTTGAACTCAGGGCTTGGGCACTGTCCTGAGATTTTTGTGCTCAAGGCTAATGCTCTGCCACTTGAGCCATATATGGCTTCACTTCTGATTTTTAGTTTGCTGGTTAATTGAAGATAAGATTCTCAAGGACTTCCTAACCTGGGGTGGCTTTGAACCATTGCCTAAACTCTCAGCTTCCTGAGTAGCTAGGATTACAGGTGTGAACAATTGATTCCCAGCCCCTGCCTTGCTTTCTTAAGTAAGTGTGGTATTAGATTCAGTAGAGATGTAATACAGCCATGATAGCAGAGCTCATTTACAGCCACAAAACATGGTAGTAAGTGTGTGCACCAACACACCTGAGCGCTTGCAAGCATGTATCCACATTCTGAGTGTGATTTTTCTCAAAGGAAAACTTACACTCTGTACATGCCTTACTTCACTTATGACTGTCAAAAGTTAAACATTCAAACTACTTCCTTATGTATACAAAATTTGTAATACCCGACCTGCAGAATTACTGAAAGTAGTAAAAAATACTACATGGGAAGTCCTTAGTAAAGAACAAGAATATACAAATTTTGGTACTTACAAATTGTTAATATATATAGGTTAGCTCATTGTCTTATTTTCATCATAGCTCTTTGTTTCTCTGTGACTATCTATAGTGTGTGTGTGTGTGTGTGTGTGTGTGTGTGTGTGTGTGTATGTGTGTGTTCATGCCTGTCCTTGGGTTTGAACACAGGGCCTGGGCACTGTCTCTGAGCTTTTTTGCTCAAAGATAGCACTCTACCACTTGAGCCATGGCTCAATTTCTATATTTTTGGTAGTTAATTGGAGATAAGAGCGTCACAGACTTTCTTGCCTTGTCTGCTTCAAACTGCAATCCTCAGATCTCAGCCTCCTTAGTAGCTAGAATTACAAGCATGAGCCACCAGTGCCCTGTCCAGTCATTTTATCCCACAGTCATGGGGACCTGCCACAGTGTAGGTATAAAGCAAGGGTTTCTCTTTATAGAGCCTGCAAATGAAGGAAAGATGGAAGAAATCAATATCAATAGAAAAGGTGAAAGAAAACAAGCTACCTAGCAAAGACAGAGCAAATTGAACCATATTATGAATTCCTCACATGAAATTCAGAGTCTACTACTAATCAGCTGCTGGGGACAGGTAAGTGTAATCCTAACTACTAAGGAGTTAATATCTGAGAGTTACAGTTTGAAGCTAGCCTGGACAGGAAAGTCTGTGAGACTCTTATTTCCAATTAATTCTCAAGGAGCCAGTAGTGGAGATATGGCTCAGATAGTACAGTTCCAACCTTGACTGAAAAGCTAAAGGACAGCATCCAGACCCTTAGTTAAACCCTAGTATTTACACACACACACACACACACACAACCCAACTACCTCAAAAGGAAGTCAGTTTAAGAAATACACAATTATGATAGACCATAGGCAGTTTAGTGATTGCCTGTCTCCACCACAGGCAACTTGTATCAACACACTTTTCTTTGTTCTGAGTCTAGGTCAACTTCTGCTCCACATAACTTTGTGGCAGTCCTGAGTCTGACACTGAGATTTCTTAGTGTCCCAGTCCTCCATAATGTGTCACCCCCAAAACTGGAGTTCTGAGTTTCAGTTCAACAAATCCAGTGCAGATGCCTTCCAAGACTGTGCCTCTGTGCTCAGAGAAAACTCCCCACATGCTTATGAACAATGAATCCATAGCTTCATGGGTTCTCACTGTTATTAAGATGGACAGAGTGCCAATCTGTATCTGTAAGTGTTCTACGCACATCATATACAAAGATGAACTAAACAGGCCAGAGATGTGCTCTTGTGGGGCTTAGTGACAGAAAAGAAAATGTTTGGGGTTTTACTTGCTTGTTTTGTACCAGCGCTAGTGCTTGAACCCATGGTTTTGCACTTTTGCTTGGCTTTTTCCTCTCAAAGCTGACTGTCTACCACTTGAGACACACCTCCCCTACTGACTTTTTATCAGTTAACTGGACATGACTGTCTCCTTGACTTTTCATCCATGGCTAGCTTCAAACAGTGATCCTCAGATCTCAGCCTTCTGAGTAGCTAGGATTACAGGCATTAGCCACCAATCTTCTGTTTAACACTTTGGTTTTGTTGAGAACAATGATTGAATGTGCCTAGAAGAATGACTTTAGACTATACTTCTGATGAGGATTGGCTCTCTCTGTTCTGTTTCAGTATTTTCTGGAGAGGGTAGTAGTCACTTGATGCTTATTGGTTGACGGAATCAGTGAATACACTTTTGGGTGAGACCCAGATAAATCCAGGCATTGCCAGTTCTGTGGTTAGATTGTATGCACAGATATCATGACAGCACTGCAGTTCACCAATCTGTGTTTTTGTGGCAACATCTAGACTCGTGTGTGTGTGTGTAAAAGTTATAACAGCCTATACACACCTAAGAAAAGTTTCTGTGTATATGGGGTGACGTAGAAGGCAAAGCCTTTGGTTGAATATTTTTAAGGTAAATCTAGTCTTACATAGAGGTTTGAGGGAGATCAATCTGGGCTTCAGTCAATATGTGAGGTCTAAGACTTTGGTTTGCGCTATGACTGACCTTGAAGGCTATATGGCCTTACTTTAGAGCATTTTGCAGGGCAGATGCTAGAGAGAGAAGTTTGTCTGTGATCTCCTATAATTAAATGTGGTGGTGGAGGTCTAATGTAGGTAAAAAGCAAGGTCTAGGACGGTGTATGAGAGGTAAGAATGGGTTCTGTGATTGTTGGTGAAGTCAGGGGGCTCTCTCTCCCCCCACCTCCCCTCTCTCTGTGCATGTGTGACCCACTTCACCTGGTCAGATTTGTGGGGTAGATTCTGGAAGTGGGTGTCATTGTGAGGCAATTCATAGATCCGAAGGGGCAATCTGGCTTTTGTGGGAAGGATTGTGAGTGCACAGCCAGAGTTTTTTTCTGGCTGTGAACAAGTTGCTTTATGTGCCAACCAGGGTCCACAGGACTTGTGTGTGTGCGTGTGTGTGTGACTTAAGCTGGGATGTGGACGCGAGCCACGCAGGGTGCGAGCACCCAGGAAGTCAAGGTCCTGAAGGCGAGCGTTTCTAAGACACCCGAGCGGCGTGGGAGTGAGGGAACCCGCGTGCGCGCGCCAGCCCTAACTCTGGCTTTGGGGTTGCCACGAGCACCCGCGCTGCATCAGCCTTGAGGCCACTCGGGGCTGGGGTGGGGGGGCTGGGAGGTGGGGGTTCCTCCCGGTTGGTGGGCAAGAGGTCCTGCGAGGAGCCAGGGGGTGCAGCCCAGCGTCCGGGGACGCGCTCCGGGCGCGCTGGCTGGCGGCTGGGCAGGGGGCCGGGCAGGAGTCGGAGCAGCACTGCCGCCTCTGGCGCGCCAGGGCTCAGGCGCCTCCTCCCGCCCCCAGTCACTGTGGCTCGGCGCACGCGGCCGGCGGCGCTGCCCTCCGCGACTCCGGGGAAGGCAATCCGCGGGGCTCCGCGGCGCCGGCACCATGGCCACGGGGCGCAGGGGCTGGGACAGCTCCCACGAGGACGACCTGCCCGTGTACCTGGCCAGGCCGGGCACCACCGACCAGGTCCCGCGGCAGAAGTACGGCGGCATGTTCTGCAGCGTGGAGGGCGCCTTCGAGAGCAAGACGCTGGATTTCGATGCCCTGAGCGTGGGGCAGCGGGGCGCCAAGACGCCGCGGAGCAGCCAGGGCCGCGGCGCGGGCAGCCGGGCCGGGGACGAAGCGGAGACCGTGGCGCGCAGGGGCCAAGGCCGGGAGGAGAGCCGGGAGCCCGCGCCCGCGCCGCCCGCGCCCGCCGGGGTGGAGATCCGGACTGCTACCGGCAAGGAAGTGTTGCAGAACCTAGGTCCCAAGGACCAGGTAAGGTGCTGTGGGACTGGGGTGCCTTCTCCGCCCTCTCTTTCTCGCGCCCCCCCCCCCCACCCCTTCAGCTTGGCCCGCCCAGGCCCTGGACAACTTTCTGGAGCTCACTTTGCAAAGAGGAGCGTGGGGGGAGGGGAAGGGAGGGAGAAAAAAAAAAAGAAAAGAAAGAAAAGAAGCGCCGTCCATGGACCCCGCAGCGTCTCCCTGTGGCACTGCGAGGGTCCCAGACGCCCCTGCCCCCTCGCTTCATCCCAACCCCTGCCCCCTTGCCCCGCACCCCTGGACTGTTCGTTCTGGGTGGGTGTGTCTGCCCAGTCAGCTCGGGAAGGCTTAGCGGTTTCCAGACTTTCTCTCCCACCAAGTAACCAACAGCACACTAGCCTGTCCCCTGAGCCCCTCCCACCCCGCCACCCCTGCCCCAAGGTCACCAGGGCAGAGGGTAAACTGATGCTGGGAAAATAGGGTCCTCTTCATGGGCTGTTTCTCCTATCATTCTGTCCCTGAAACTTTTTTGGGTGTGGATCCACTAGCCTAAACACCCGAATCTCTCTCTGCCTTGCTCCTGTCCCCTAGCAAGGCATTCACTTCACATCTGTGTGTGTGTGTGTGTGTGTGTGTGTAGAGAGAAAGAGAGAGAGAGTATATTTGTGGACATAATTTGGCACAAGACCGGGTATCACAGGGATCCAGCTGTCTCTACTAAAAAAAAAAGTCATTTTTTTTGAAAATAGACGAGGGTATTAAGGGTGCATATTAAGCTAGCACGAGCTGCAAATGCCCTGCTGTGCTTACATGTGTCAAACCAGTTTTTTTTTCCCTCTGTGTGTCTTGTAGAGTAATTCTGAAGGGATAGCACGGAAATCCAGCTTATCCTGATGATTTAAGTGTTTGTTTCATAGAAGAAAAAAAAAACAGAGTCATAATTCTGAAAATTCAAGAGCTGGGCAGGCCTGGGGGACTCAAAGTTAGAGCTGATGGTTTCGAGCTGGGGCATAGTAAACATCAGATGCCCTCTGTCTCCCTCGTCTAGGTAATGGCTGCAGAATCCATCAGCATATATTATTCCACACTAATACCATCATGAATAATATCCTGAAATGGAAATGCCTGCCTCAGAAAGATTACAGTTCATGCTTATCCTGATCGTAGTTAGTTTTCCATTGAAATGCAGCCAGCCAATAGAAGCACAGCCTCTATCTCCTCTGTTTAATTTTCAAAAGTTTAACAGAACAAACTTTGTAACTACTGATTCCACCCGGGAGAAGAGGTGCTGGAGTTAAGGTTGCTGTAAGGTGCCATCTATGACACAGTGGTAGAGTGTTCTTTGGAGTCAATCATTTATTTGAGGATTTTTTCACATCCCTTTTTGAATATGGGAATCCTCAAAGCACTACTGACACACCCTTTAGGAAAAAATAAAAGAAACACCTCATATTTTGGAAAGGCTGTGGCTGGTTTCTGAACTGAAGAATAGCCCTATATAGAGAGGTAATTGCCTCTCTTCAAGTCTGACTTGATCTGTACTGAAAGGCTCCCTTCCTGGCTGGGAGGAGTGGCAGAAGCCATGGAAAAGGTCAGAAACAATTGCTGTGAGTCAGACTATTCCCTTCTCTGGGACACCTCTGATGTAAGCCAGATAATAAGCCTGGTTTGCAAGAGAAAACAACGGTAACTAGAGAAAGGGAAAATGTTCTTCCTTTTCAACCCAGCAATTCTCCCATTTCCCTCCCCTTGCAAGCCCTATACTTTTGGCTCCTAATTGAAAAATAATAATACGACCTAAGCATCTACAGGATTTCTAGTGCCATGTGGTTATTTGTAAGTTCAGGCTTGCTGTCTTCCTCATCCAGCCTATGTTATTATCTGTCATTTGACTGGAAAACATAGACGTTATCTAGTTCTGCACTTGATATTATTTCCTTAAGCACAGGGACTGTGTGTTTGGATTTATGTTTGTGCCTAGAATGCCTGGCACATGGAGGATTCTCAGTAAATGTTTGCTTAAACTTCCTTAGTGAAGCCGCTCACTTTCCCGTGTGGATCACTTGGCCTCTGCCATTGTGGTAAAGCAACTTTGGAAAAACCTCTTTTGACAGAGAAAATAAGACCAAATCTTTCTACCTATGGCTTCTACAAATTATGCATAGCTTTGAACTCAAAATGGAAGATTTTCCTTATTTGGAGATTCTTTAAAGATTTGAAGTACGTCCCCGCTGCCTCCCCCCTCCTCCCCCATGTCTGTCTGAGAAGTTTGGTAATGCCACAGTAACACCCTCTCAAGCCTGTGTGGCTTAGTGAAACAATGATGGTGTCTTGCTTCTGCTACTTATCTATCCAGCATGGGTCTTCAGGGAAGCTCTCCTCATCCAAAATTGGTGGAGGTCTCATCTCTACATATCTGAGTGGGACAAGCTGAGCACGTGGCAAGTTACAAACTCTTACTGCCCTAATGAACGTATGATGTCAGCTCACTTTTTTTTTTTCCGGACAAAGCAAATCCTGTGCCCACACTCAACTGTTAAAGATGGGAGAAAAGGCTGGGTACCAGTAGTTCACACCTGTAATCCTAGCTACTCAGGAGGCTGAAATCTGAGGATTGCAGTTCAAAGCCAGCCTGGGCAGGAAAACTCCATGAAACTCTTATCTCCAATAAACCACCAGAAAACTGGAAGTGGTGCTGTGGCTCCAGTGGTAGAGCACTACCCTTGAGCTGAAGAGCTGAGGGACAGTGCCCAGGCCCAGAGTTCAAGCTCCACGACTGACAAAAACAAAACAGCAACAACAACAAAAAGATTGGCGAAAAGCTGGACACCAGTATCTCATGCCTGTAATCCTATATACTCAGAATGGCTGAGATCTGAGGATCCTGGTTCAAAACCAGCCACAGTAGGAAAGTCCAGAAGACTCTTATCTCCAATGAACCACCCTAAAGCCAGAAGTGGAGCTGTGGCTTAAATGGTAGAGCACTAGCCTTGAGTAAAATAACTCAGGGATAGCATCCAGCTCCTAAGTTCAAGCCCCAGGTCTGCCCACCCCCCCAAAAAAAAATAAAAAAGGAAAAGATTGGGGACCTAACTTACCACAATCCTTCTATAAGGGTAGAAATAATTAACAGAGAGCCCTAATATCCCATCCAGATCTAGAAATGGAGTACTGGGGAGAGAGATGGCCTAGTCCTTATTACCTGTGTAACTTAAATATGTAACTTAGACTCGTTGGGCCTCTGTTTCTCATCTGTACCTAGGTACTCAGTATGTATTAATTGTAACTATTACTCTATAATTTTATTGTTCTTTATGTGTTTGATGGCATTTATTGAATTCTAAGTATCCCTTGGTTATTCTTAGCTTCCTCAATTCTCTCTCTCCTATAAGCATTTCACCACTCTGATTTCCTTTCCAAGTTATGTTTTGCAAATATTCTTCTGAATACAGTGCCTAGAACTAAGCATGACACTCCAGATGGAATATGGCCACAACAAAGTAGTTTAAGCGCCTTAATTTTCTGGATTTAGCATAACATATGCTTGCACAATACAAGATTATACCTAATAAATAAGTATTTGGGTCTTACTACTGTCTCCATGGTAATCTCCCTGCATTCAAACTATGATGGACCATTCTATGCTGATTTTGTCATTTAGGACAAAGTCAAAACGAAGAATAACTTAATTGTAGGATTTAACTTGTTTTCATCTATATTTGTCACTGTCTTAGCTCATGATTATTTTCTCTCATAATACTTTTGAACCTTTATTTGATGACACACACTTGCATCTATCCTCAGATATTATACTACCCTGAACACCAGTTTTCTCATCTGCTTACTCTGGTGGTAGGTATCACTGTGAACCCTTTCTATGTGCCAATCACAGATATATACTTTGACATTGTGTATTTATGATATATATATATATATATATATATACATACCTGTATATATTTCCCCCAAAAAAAGATTATTCAGAAAAGAAAACTGAAACTCAGAGATGAAATATTTATTCCCAAATTTCATAGATAGTGAGGGGAGCTGAAGATAAAACTCTGATTTTTTTTCTAATTGCAGAGCCAATGCTCTTTGCAAATAGGGAGTCATACAGCTTAATCATCATGTCAGCTCTAGATGTGTTGACATAATGAAGAGCAAGGACAAGAGTTCCTTCATCACCTCTGAAGATCATCTACCAACTTGCCATCAGCCTGTGACTCAGGAAAGCTTTGAGACCAATGGCTCCGCCTATGAGAACAGTTGCTGAAAAAAATGTTTTCTTCCTAGTTACTCATTAGTCAGAAGCCAGAGTGTCTTTTTTTTTTCTTATATTTTTTGGTCATGGGTCTTGAACTCTGGGCCTGGGCACTGTCCCTGAGCTCTTCAGGTCAAGGCAAGTGCTCTACCACTTGAGCCACAGTGCCACTTCCATTTTTCTGGTGCTTAATTGGAGATAAGAGTCTCACAGACTTTCCTGCCCAGACTGGCTTTGAACTGCAATCCTTACAGCTCAGCCTCTTGAGTAGCTAGGACTACAGGCATGAGACACCAGCGCCTGGCTGTTTCTTTTAATGTCTTGATAAAATGAAAATATCCCTTGTTTCTGGCTTACCTAATTATAACTCTTATTGTAAGGTAATGAGTATAGTTAAAAAATTATGGAGATGATAAACCACAAAACTGAGCGGTGGAATAAAATAAGAAAATCAAAGCTGGGTACTGGTGGCTCACATCTATAATCCTCGATAGTCAAGAAGCTGATATCTGAGGATTGAGGTTTCGAGCCAGCCAGAGCAGACAAATCTTATCTTAATTATCTATAATTAGCTAGCAAAAAGCCAGAACTGGAGGCATGGCTCAAGTGGTAGAGCACCAGCCATGGATAGAAAAACTAAAAGACTCAGAATTCAAGTCTTGGTACAGGACACACACACACACATACACACACACACATACACACACACACACACACACACACACACACACACACACACACCAAATGTCAGGTA